CCTTTATGGATCACGGAATCAGATTCAGCGCAGTAAGATTTCATTCTCAACAGTCTATGTACAATGTGATCGTAAGGATTTCCTTTCCTCTGGTGACGTGGCGGTCGCTTGTCGTCTGGCTCACCTGAGGCTAAGACTCCAGAACTGTTACAAAGGTCAACAACATCCCTCCTCCATGACATATCGGGTGCCAATCGTCTGTGCTCACCGAGTGTGCGGTTCTTCGATTACACAGAAACTTTTGTAACAACGTTTAACACTCTTCATGTCAAACTGTAAGATGCTAATATTCTATCAGTATTACTTTACTAGGATGTGCGTAGTAGTGTTTTGAGGGTGTAGTGCCACGTGCGGGCGTGAGTGAAATAATATCTCATTTCATTTCATTGAACTTGCTTGCAATTGCACTCCACACCGAAGTGTAAATGAGGGTTCAAATTACCAGTTGATTTGAATGATTGGTTTCCCTTTCTGATAACATTTCCATTTAATTTGTGACTTTTAAGAATATGGTTGATACTTTTTCTTAATAAAAAGTTCGGTTTTCATTTGTTACGGAACACGATTTGGAAAATGCAACGCAGTTCAGCCTACGGCCTACACACGCAAGCAATTCTGCAGTTAGAGATTAATTATGTGTTACTGCGTTCAAGCTGCCATTGCTAGCGAAAGATTAAACCAGATAGCCAAAGGAAGCAAATGCTGCAACACGGTCATTGGAGTCGAGCAGGAACTGGTTTCTCAATTAGTTCTCAAAAGATGTAGTTGGAACATACATAGAGCCATAGCCATGCAGTCAGCAGAGCGTCGTCCCAGGATGTTTCTTCCCTCACAATGTGCTTAACCTTGCGGCACGTTGATGAAGGGATATTTTCACTTCTTTTTATGGGATTTCCATCGTTTTTTGTATTCCCAGTCACTAGGCTAGGAAATGTTTACTTCACACTAATGCGAAGCTTAAGTTTCTTTCATTTTGGCGAGACATTATAATATTCTAATGAGTGACTGTCTCACTTCAGATTCCTAGTCAATATGTCAGGAAATGTTTTACTTCACTCTCTTTGTGAAGCATTAATTTATTTCTTTTGGCGGTATGTTACTTTTTTTAGCATCGATCGCTATTTCTTTGGATCACGGGACAGGAGACTGCTACATAGGCATGGCCTTGTATGCACACTTGGTTGTTTTATCGTAAATTATCTGTACTAGCTCCTAAAATCCTAAGAGAAGATAGATTTTCTGTAGTTGTATTGGTAGCTAAACTTAGCTTGACGTTCGATTAAGCTTTTTTTCCCCAAAGGACTTTAAAATCAACTAATTTAATTGTGATCAACTATGCAGACTAGTTTGATGATTGTGAATGAAGTCATCCTGAAATTACCGTTTTTGCGAAAGATTTCAAAGTAAATTTTGCCAACTTTTTGCTAGTACGAAATAAGCAGAACATAAGAGCGAATTTATGAACCGAATATAACTTTCAATTCTTCCTCATTAACCATAAGAGCTTTTGTATGACAAATGCAGAAAAGTGAAAAAACGCATTATCGGCATGTTATTCATCAGTTTTACATAAGAACTGTATATTCAAATAAAAGTAACCTAGTTAGGCCTATAGCGACCATGCAGTTGAGGTTTCTGCAGCGACGGAGAGCAAGTGGTCCTTCAGCACTGCTATAGCTAGGCTAAAGTATTTTCGCCTCTTACAGTATGGCTATTGCTATTGCTACGCTAGCCTTACCCAGCGGCCAAAGCGAGGTCCAGCGAGAAGAGCATGAAGGCACTTTATAGTTGCTTGCCAATAGGTTCCGCCCTACAATACCGGACCAATTTCATTTGACTCGGTTGTTTATATATTTTCTCATAGAGTACCAAAGAAGAGCGAGTTCTTTATATATATATATATAAATATAGATACGTATTCAAGAAAGTCCAACGGATATGTTCTAAATACTAGTTATCATGTATGAATCATTTTCATAAAAGAAATTATATCTATGGATAATTTTTATTCTCTAAAGCAAGCATGTTGTTCCATAATGGTAAGACTCAGAGCGTATTTGTAAATCAGATGAATTTCTTTGCACATACAAAAAGTCTATCGGCAGAACACCCATCAAAAGGCGCCTCAGATCAAGCTGAAAGGTAATGATATCCAGATTATTACAGATAAGGATAAGAAAATCAGTATTAAGAGTTTGTGACAGTTGCCATTATCTGTGAACCAAATTGCCTAAAAATCAGAAAAGATTTTAGCATTTACCGCAAGCAATAAGCGACTCTGGGCGCTACATCTGAAACACGAGTGGTACAGCCACTGTCACTTATTTGTACATATATCAGAGTACATAGATCATGGTGTATTACTTTACATTTTTTTATATTTTGATGGCAGAAATGTAGCAATCTGGATTAGTATGCTGCGGTGATGTTACAGATTTTATAATAAAACCGTACTTTCGGCCTCTGGTTTATCTCTCCTAATCTTGACCCCTAACACTGA